AAGATGGCTCCTTAAGGGAATTTAATGCATTTATAGAGTATCTCATGGTTCTTGGCCCTACTGGTACCCAGGAGATGTTTGTTATATGCATAAAGGGTACACTAATACATGAATACATTAATTATAAGAAATTACCACTCAGGGGTCTGTCGGCAGTGCCCACGACAGACTCGTAATAAGAAGCTGGGAGCTTAAGTCCTAATGTTCTTCTTTTTCTCTCTCTCACATCAAGAGTAAGGAAGAGCCTTCCTGTATAAAAGCTGAGCTCTTCTCTAGAAAGGAAAAAAAAAATATCCCCACTCTAAAGGTTTCAGTTGACGCCTTGGGTAAGTAGTACTATCTGTCATGTCATTTGAGATCTCAGGCTATGGAGTACAATGGTGCGTTCCTCCTCGCAGCCCCATCTGCAGACAGCTGGAAGAGGCGGGAAGGGAAAAAGCCAGGCGGCCCACAGACGAGGTCCCGCTGGTGTGCAGCACAGCCCTTAATAGGAGATTCCTCTGCAGAAGGCAGCCAGTTAAAGTCAGATTTTGAGAGGTAAGAGAAAAAAAGAGACTATTAAAGAGAAATGAAGACGTTATGAGAGACATTATTAAAGAGACAGAAGAGAGAAATGAGGGCTTGAGTTAGAGAGGTGTGAAAGCGAATGTTACCGCACCCTTCAAATCTACCTGTGAGCACACACACGCAAATTCTGTGCACAAAAGCCTAGGCTGACACAGGCCTTAACCCTCACTTTTCAAATGTGTAGAATGATTGAACAGATTTCAGTCTCATTATTCTTCTTATGTTCAGGACTATCAAAATCACACCTGGTGTGACAGGATCTGTAAATTCACCTGTGTGAAGGTGGCTGCATTCAAATTCCATCTTGAGCACGTTATTTTCTAAAAATATACAGGCTGATTTAAGATTTAAAGGGAAAAAAGTAGGTTACACTTGTACCCGTAAAGGTCTGCATGACTCAGAATTTAATAATAGGATACATAAGATGTCACCCTTAGGTCACTGATTCTAGGGTGACTATAGTAGACTGCCATTTGAAGACATCACCATCTAGCAGCTGTTTTGTTCACAATCTGTAGAAGAAATGTGTTGCTTGTCTCTATTAATACTCATTTGACAGGTGTATACATTCCAACTCAAATACATCTGCCAATTGGGAGCCCTTTGAAGCTGAGTGATGAAAGCCACGACAGCTGGTACCTTGAGACAGTCCTTAGGATGCCCAATTCTCTCCTTCATCTAAAGAGCTAAATATTAATACTTCATATTATAGCAGATTTTCCTGTCTATAACCCAAATCACAAGGGAAAGATATCAATGGAGGATTTCTGAAATAAGCACAATATCATTCTCTGAGACAAAGAAGGCAAAAATCTTTCCTGTTAAGAAGATGAGGCAGAGGTCAAACCAGCTGAGAAGGTCAACATTTACAAGAGCTCAGTGACCTGCAAGAGACTGCAGACGTCCCTGGGACTCTGTGCTTTCGCCAGAGGTCACGGGGAAATACTTCTAAAATGTATGTATTGACAATTTATATACCCAGGCAATATAAACTAATGCAGCTTCCACTAGGTCATGGTGCTCTCGAGCTTCTGAGTCAACACCTATGTAGTGCCAAAGATTATAATTTAGCCGTTTAGCCCTTCACCATGGCAAGTGAAAAGTGGATGGTGCATTACTGCACGGTAAAGTCATTCCACTAAGGGGGTTTCCTGCAGCCCATCATGGTGATGGTGGGAGAAAAATTATGTTTTGAAAAATAATGCTATTATTTCTAAAGCACAGTATGTAAGTATTTAAGTCACGGCTTAATCTACTTTTTCAGTACTGAAATAGTGCCCGCATACACTCATCGGCCTTTGTTACATATTGAGCCCATGGTGGCTCAAGGAAATAAGACATCATCTGAAAATCCGTGTTCTTACCTTCCAAGCTTGTACCTTCCTTCAAAGAACTCAGCATCTCCTTTCAGAAGAACGTTAATTTAACCAGGCCATATCCCAACTCACATTTAGTATGAATTTTTAATGTTTATATAAAATGCCTAATAGAGGCTCTCCTTTATTTTCTTTAATGATGTTAAATAATGTGATATTTGACATGAATTCAAAAAATGGTGGAAAATGTCATTAATAACTTTTTCTTTCAAATACGTCATTTTATCTTAAAAGGTCTTAAGAGCCCTGCAAGTTCAGGCTTCATAGATTTTAGTCTGTCAAACCCAAGAAATCTTATAAAATGAGAAAGCAAGCACTCACTGTGCCCTTTTGAACTGACTCAGGAAGGCAACAAAACAACTCTGTAGTTTGATTTTGTTTTGCTTTAGAGCTGGTATGTCATTGGAGATCACGGCCTGCAACTCTATTTCACTGATGAGGAAATTAAGGCAGAAGAGAGGTTAAGTGACATGGAAACACACACCTTTTGAATTAACGTAGACCAGAAATATTACAACCACGGCCTACATTATTCAACTAACTGGAAAAAAAAAAAGCCATTTTCATTTAAACTGAAAGTTTGTCTAAAAAAATCTTTAATTCTAAGTTTAATAGTAAACTTAGCTGACCTATTCTTTCTGTCTGCTGTAAGACTTTGTCTTTTGTCTTAAACCTAAGAAGCTCAGAATAGAATTTAGTGCCCAAGCAGAATACCACTTTCTGGCCATGGTTACCTTACTTGGGATAATCGCATCCTCTCGGTCCCTCAGCTCTTCCTAAATTCAATAACTATTAATTGAGCATCTATGCTCTATGTTCTATGTTCTATGTCCAACAGCATTCTAGGTGCTAAAGATACAGCAGTGAACAAATCCTGTGAAAATTCCTCTCCGGGGAGATAAATTTTTTTAAGTATAACTGAGTGGGTTAACACTATGAAGAAAATAAAAAGCAGAACAGGAGATCAGAGTGTGGAGTGAGGCTACACTTTAAAAGGAGTGGCCAGTAAAGGCCTTTTGGATGACATTTGCATAGAGATCTGAAAGAGAGAAGGGGGAGGAGTGAGCAAGCAAAGGGAAAGGTCTCTAGGGGGATATTCCAGGCACCAGGAACAACAAATACAAGAGCCCTGAGGTAGAAGTATGCCTGGCCTGCCTGACTCATAATTTTCTTATTTATTATTTTAAATAAAGTATGTTTTTTCTTCACTGAAAGTTCTGTCCAATACTGTGGTACATTCATACAGTCATAATTACTACAGACAAGCTTCAGATCCAGTTCTGAGGAAGTTTTTAGTGGTTCTGTATGATACGACACTGCATACATCCGGCCACCCTTCCACTCCCCATTCCTTCTCTTCTCCATTAGAGATCAAAATATTGACTTCCTCAAACTAACTTAATCTGCTTTGGGGAAAGGGTCTACCTTAATTCAGGAAATCAAACTGCAATGCAGAATACCCCAACCCATAGGACTACCTCCCTTGAACTTCTAAACCCACTGAATTTGTATCCAGCCTTTAAGGATTGCGACTTGTTTACATCTCATCATACGCTACCTTGTATTGTTCCTGTGTACACATCTGTTCTCCCAGTCACTTCCTGGGAGCAGGGCCCATATTTTGGGAATGTATGAATCCCACCACAGGGATCTGCACACGGATGGCACCAATATCTGTTTGCCGATGATGTCATAGAAACTACCACAATGAGAGCAGACATTCCTCCTGTTTTAAGTATCTGTTTGTGGATAAACCATAAAAGAGACACCAGTCTCTTACAGGCATTTGGATAATCTCAACCATCTTGGCCAAGTTAGTGTTTGTGTAACATTCCATTCTGTCCAAGTTTCCCTTTGCATTTCTGGTTGGGCAGAGCACACACTTTCGGTCTAGACACCAGCATGGATTACCCACCAAACACAGAAGAACTGCACCGTGTGGCATCCTGTTCCGTTCACTTGAGCCAATGTTATTAAACACTCTTAACGGGAAAGGGACTCAACAGAAAACTATCAAACCCCAACCACACTGTCTGGCAAAACAAACACATACATAAGGAACAACTTCTGTGCATCCAAGACACACAAGAGTATTTTTAAAGTATAGAAGCAGGGGCCTGAAGGGTGAGGTAAGACTTCACGGAAAAAAGCTGGCATCTGAACAGCCAGGGTTTTGAAAGACGACTAGGCCTACGACAGTCAAACGGGATCAAAGGGCATTCCAGATTGTGCACAACACTGACAGAAACAAAACACTGCACACTGCTGGAAGAACTCATTCACCATCAGTGAAGGAAAGCTGCTCTGTTGCACTCTTAAGCTTTCCAAGAAAAAAAAAAAACAAGCTTTCCAATAGGGAGCTGAGGAAGAAAGTTCCACCAGGGCTTTTTTTGTTAAACCTCTTAGCCTTGCTTTGCTTTGTTTTGCTCTGTTTTGTTCCCTCTTAAAGAAATAAAGTACTGTGCTGGCATAAAACTTCAGTGAGGAGAAGCACTTCAGCTTTACAGCAGAATAAGAAAACTTCTAAGTGGGCAAGGGCCAAGGAGTGAATAAATGAATGAATGAATGAATAAGTGAATGAACGAAAACATAAATTTTTTTGAATATATAAATAGAGCAAAACTAAAAATTCAGTCCTCGAGGACCTGAAATATTAATTCCAACCCTTCTCTTCACCCACTCGATAGGTATTTACAGTATTTGGTGCCCACTATTTGTTAGTTTCTGGAAGACCAGGCCCACGAGGCACTCTCATTGCCCTCCTTTTTGAGGGAGCTCTTGCTTGCAGTTTAGTCAAAGAAAGAAGCAGAGGACAATACATTGTAGCCGGTTCCCTCCACCGAAGCCCGAAGCTCTTGCAGAGTTAAATTCCAGTTAAGTGAGACAGTGAGGTCAACACAAATAATATTACAACGACAAACAACTATGAGATGTGAGAAGCTGTCTGACAGTGGTCCTTGATAAGGCTGTCCCATCACCTCTTCCTGTGAGCTGGGAGCAGGCATATGAAACGCTGAACCAGGGGGACAGAAGAAGGGACAGAAGGGGGAAAGTTACCTGGGAGCTCAGGTAGACTTTGAGGCACTCCTCACACACGGCCTTCTTGCAGCAGGGCAAGGGCTTGATGGGTTTGTCCTCCAGGCACACCCGGCACATCAGCACCATGAGGGGCACGTAGGGATCCCCTACCCCACCCAGGTCAGAGTAGGGTGGAGCTCCCAAGAGGCTGGGCACGGAGAACGGCTCAGGCGCCAGGTAGAACTCCAGCTCGATGCTGCCGCCGTCGGGGGTCAGAGGGTCTGTGGGGAGGGACAGCCGGGGGCTGGGGAAAGAGGAGGGGGTGCTGGGAGCGTTCGTCACGGGCGGAGCCCGAGGTGAAGACGCGGGCGGCGAGAGCTGCTCCGCGGTGGGGGCCTCGGGCAGGTCATTCTCCACGCAGAACACGGAGCAAAAAACTTGTCTCTTGCCGGGGATTGGGCGCCGCTGACCCAGCACGTCCAGGACCAGTCCGTCCGCGGCCCCGACGCGGGTCCTGGGCTCCCGCTCCTCGCCTGGGGGCGCGTCCCGCTGTTCATCCCCTCCCTCGTTTCGGTCCCCAGCTTCCTCCTCCTCTTCCAGCTGCTGTTGCAAAGTCTGGGGGTTGAGGGGCCCGGTAAGTGTCAGTCCCGCGGGCTGTCCGGGCGCTCGGCTCCTCCTCCCGTCCGGGCCCCACCGGCTGCTCTCGGGCTCCGGGGCGCTCGTGTCCGCGCAGCCCGACTCGCTTCCGCAGCCACCGCCGCTCGGCTCCGCGGAGGCGGCGTGCGGCCCGGACTCCCCGGCGCTGTCCCCCCGCGGCCTCGGGGGCTCGGGGTGGCCTGTGGCGCCGCCAGCGGGGGCCCGCGCCTCTTGTGGCCCGCCGCCGCTCACCGTGCTCTGCTCCTCGCCCATCGCCGCCCGCGGCCCGCGCCGCCGCTGCCCATCCAGCCGCCGGGACCCCCACCCGGCGCCGGCGGGCAGCGGGGGCAGCGGCTCGGCTCGACTCGCGGCTCCGCTTCTGCTTCCGGGTCCCTCCTCCGGGGCTGGGACTCCCCGAGCTCCCTCCGGGGAGCCCGTGCTCCCGGGCCGCGGCAGGCGGAGAGCCCGGCCCGCTCCGCTGCTCCTCCTCCTCGTCCTCCGGCGCGGCCGGGGACCGCCTCTGGGGCGCCGAGGGCCGCTCGCTCCGGGCGCCGGCGCGCCCGCCCCTCATGCAGGTCGGGGCGGTGCCGGGGCCCCCGCGTGCCTCCGGGCGGGGCAGAGGGTCCGGGGAAGGGAGGCGGCCGTCAGTCCCGCGCCATCGCCGGTCCCAGCTGCGGGGCGCGCGGGACGGGCGGCCGGAGGGCGCTGGTCGAAGGGTCCAGGGGCCTGTGGCGCCGCCGCGGCGCGCACCGGGAGGTGCAGCCGGAGCGCGAGCGAGCCACGGCGGCCCCTGGGGGAGAGGCCGGAGCAGGCGACCTCCCTCTGCTCCTGCTTCACCTAGAGCCCTCCTCGTTGCCCCTCACCCCACCCCCTTGGCGCACACCTCCCCACACGTACACACACACGCGCAGACACCCGCTCACTCACACGCACACCCGAGTGGGTGTGATCTAAGAGCCGAGATGCGCTCTCGCGCCCGGAGTTCACACTCGGCCTCAACAAAACCCTTCAGGCTACGCACCAAGTAGAACTTCGTACAAAATCACCGTGTACTCAGAGCATTAACTAGAAAACACGGGCCACTTAAGATTGTGGTTTCTCTTGGATCCATCGAATTTTAAATCCTCCAGAGAGGGAGTTCAAAGAAATAACGCCAGGAATTGTTCGTTAGAAGTGTTGCATGTACTAACTCTGTTTTCTGCCTTTGGGGGTAGGAAGGATCTTTGGAACTCACAAATAAGCCAAACGTACTTTTAACCTACTCCTCCAACTGAAGTCCTTCTGAGGTCTGACAAATAACTAATTTAAGATTTATCTTGTTCCCTCCTCTTAAGTGCTCTCTTAGGAACTTTTATTTTTAACCCTTTAAATAATACAAAATAGATAACAGGAGATAGTAAGATGGCCTGGCCTAATTAATAAACTAGATCATTGGTGGGAATCATGAGGAGTTAGTTAAATTAGCATAACCGTATTTATCCCCCAAACTGTTTCCAAGACAACAATTACATTTGAGCCAGAATTTAATTATGTGTTAATCTATCTTTATTTTACAGGAAGTATTAGTCACCCAAACTGGTGTGTTTTAGTTCCCTAAAGCCAATGAAAACATTTTGGGGAAGCCAACCCTTGTTTTTGCATCTTGAAAGGGAATTCAATTTACACATTCATATAATAGGAAGGAGTTGTGAAGTGTGTAGCATTATTTTATCTTGAAGTTGTTATTGGTTTGTTCTAAAATATTTTCCAAATCAGTTACAAATGCTAGAAAGGCAGCTAACTATGCAATACTTTAAGAAAGCAGCCCAACATCCAAGCACATTTCTATCCTTTGTGTCTGGCACTCAGTTGCACCCTAGAGGTATGAATCCAATCAATCAGTCGAAATGCCACCTCATTTAACAGTCTGACCCAAGAATGAAGAATTGTTATTTGGAAGAATAAATGCTATTCAAGGGTTGTTTTTTTTTTTTCTTCTCCCATTTTAGCTAATTAGTTTCCTATTAACTGCTGTTTTCTCCAAATGATACCTCTACTGTTTAATGTTCTAAAGACAGGGACAAGAAGCCTACATGTATTGTGCTTTTTGTGTTTGCCATCTGATAACTATTCCTCTATTCTTTCCAAAGAGATATAAAAGTAATCTGTGCTTTCCAGGTGACAAGAGGCTAAAAGTAAGACTACAGTAACAATAATGAATACAAAAAAGTATAAATCCACAGCGTCTATAGGATCAAATGCCTTAAGGTCCTCACATAGTTTTGGGACCCCCATCCTGACACGTTTGTCATAGGTGTTCAAAGCACTTGTTCTTGCAGTGCCCACCACCTTGGTCCTTATCCCCCAAGCTTCTGTTCACTGATGGTGGCTTTCCTTGCTACTGAACCAACTAGAAGTCGCTGCTAGAAATCCTGAAGACTCCGCAAAACTCTCAGCCCTTCTCCTTGCCATGACAGACTCAGACTTGCCTAATTCCTGGGCTCAGCCTTGCTGGTGTTTTCAATCTGCGACCCTGGCAGCATGAAAATGAGTTAAAATGCAAAGTTAAAATTTCGGTCAGACCATCATTTTCCCCTGAAATGAAATGCTTGAAGCACCTATGATTGTGATGACAAGATTCACTTTTTAAAAAGGATTGGTTGAAAACATACTTGCCATAGCATAAATTTCACTTATCTACCACAAGCTTCATATTCTCAAAACTCAGACCATCTGCTCCACATCAGGCTGTTTATAGCTGTTAGTACAACATAAGCACGATCTGCCACTACCAGTTTGATCTCTCAGTATTTTCTAATCTTCAGTGAGCTGGGCACCTTCCCTAAAATCAAGACCAGCATTAGGAGACAATGTCAAGTTTGAGAATTAACATAGTTAGCTGGCTTAGATAGTTACTACTTTTCTTACTCTGGCCTTTAAACATGACTTATTTTTAGTGCCCTTGAGGATTTTTATTCAGACATTAATTTGAACGTTAAAAAGCCTAGATTTATTAACTTATTAGAAAAATGTTATGAGATATAAGAAAAGCTGTGAATCATTTTAATTTTACACATTCAAGGTAAAACTAATTTCTTCATGCCTGTTGTGGAGAAGAAATGCATAACATTTAAATACCGTAAAGGAATTATACAGCAAATACCGGACTTGCTTTTCTGCCAGTCTTTCAACTATCCAAAAAGGCAAAAAGAAACACAAATCACTTAATTTTAAAAGCGAATTCATTTCCTGGGGCACCTGGGTGACACGGTCATTTAAGCATCCAACTCTTTGATTTTGGCTCCGATGGTGATCTCAGGGTCCTGAGATTGAGCCCACCTCCCTGCTGGGCTCCACACTCAGCGTGGAGTCTGCTTAAGACTCTCCTTCTCCCTCTGCCCCCAACCCCATGCACAATCTCTCTTGAATAAATAAATAAATCTTAAGAAAAAATTCATTTCCTGAAGGCAAATGAACAGAATGGAATGCTCTTCTAGGTCTGCTTCTGAAAGACACAGTGGAAATTTTGTCCTCCCTTTCCTGTTCTCTCTTCTTCACGCATGGAGGAAGAGAAACTGGAACATTAAAGGAAAGGGCATCAAGAAGAAAAGAAAGGGACTCAATTTTTTCCCTTTCTTTTTCCACCCTAAATTCCCTAAATCCAAATAGTAGGCTTTTATAAGATAAAGTTAAAAATAAAATAAAACAGTGCATTCCTTCAACTTACAAAATAAAAGCCTAAATGCTTGGAATATAGAGGAAATCAAGAATAAAAAGGACGACAAGGAGGTGAGGAAAGGAAGAAAGGGAGGAAAGAAAGAAGGAAAGAAAAAAGGAAGAAAGGAAGGAAGGAGGAAGGGAAGGCAGGCAGGAAGAAATGAGGGGAAGAACTTTAGTTATTATTACCCAAAATAACCACTTACACTACTTTACCATATTGAGATATTTTGTTCTAGTGTTTGCATCTGTGTGTGTAAAAATATATTAAGTGATAAATTCTCTTTTTCTACCTTTTTAAACTTAGTAATATATTCTGAATATTTTCTTTCTTTTTTTTTTTTAGGATTTTATTTATTTATTTGTCAGAGAGAGAGAGAGAGCACAAGCAGAGAGAATGGCAGGCAGTGGGAGAAGCAGGCTCCCTGCTGAGCAAGGATCCCTATGTGGAGCTTGATCCCAGGACCGTGGGATCATTGACCTGAGCTGAAGGCAGATGCTTAACCCACTGAGCCATCCAGGTGTCCCTGAATATTGTCCATGTAATTAACCCTCTTTCTTGGCCCCTCCCCCTGGTCACAAACTCTCTCACTCTCTCAAATAAGTAAATAAATCTTTAAAAAATCTTTAAAAGATATATAACATTTAATATATGTTAATATTTCTTATTTATACTAACATATAACCTTTATAACATTCCTAATACACCATAACATAAAGTCCTAAAAATTAAATTGCTGCAAAAAAGAGTAGATTTTTCGGAGGGGGCTCTTGGCGCATATTACCACAGAAACTTAGCACCAATTTATAGTTCCATCAACAGTGAGGCTATGAGGGTCTATTCTCCTAATCATTCTAAGGAGATTTTTAAAAATTCAAAATGCTGTAAATAACATCTTGCTTTTTAATTAATGAGTACATTCTTTTAAATAAAAAGGGCTGAGATCAAATATTAACTGTGGATTCCCCTTTGGATATTTACAATTCAGCACTACATTGATATGATTCTCTATTCCTGAAGTTATGGTTCTGACAGCTTCCTTTCCTCGTCTTATTTTTGAATTTCCTCTTTGCCTCTTCCAGTGACAACAGTGTTGTTGTTCAGAGATAGACTCAGAAATGTTCAGAGATAGACTCAGTCATAATTAGTACCTCTAAATCCATAATACCAATCTCTCATTTCCAAAACACAGATTCATTTATTTGAGTGCACAAACTCATTCCCAAATGAGTACTGTGCCAAGAAAATCCCATCTCTCAACCCACACTGTGGAAGCTCTTCAAATTAAGACAAAAAAGAAGTCCACTAACAGTATAAACTTGACCCTTCTGGACAGAGAACCAGTTCCCGCCACACTGAAGAAACACCAAGACCTTGCGGTTTTAAGGCAACTCAAACTTTCCACTATTACGGCTCTGGTTTACCAGAAAGATGTCAGCCCAGGCTCTGCATTTAGAAATCCCCAATCTCCTCTTTCCAAGGCACATAGTGACATGAATAGAGAGGCAGGTTCTCTCTGTCCGCCAGCTTCTCTTTCTAAAAAGGGTATCAAGTCACAGCATTCTCCTGACAGGCT